ACCCACCCAGGCCGTGCACTAAGGTCTGTTCCATGGCCCAGAGCAGAAGAGCGTCCAGCGGAGAGAGCATTCCCAAAGCCCAAAGCACTGGCAGAACCACAAACAACACATGAAGCACCTGAGATGCTACTTGCAATTCAACCACTCCAGAACCTGAAAACCTGAGAGATGAGGACAAGAGTACGTCAGACTCAGCACTGACTCTTGACATTCATGCTCAAACAATCCTCATAAGTTTAAGTTACACAACAGAAGTCTCAAAGAAAACACTCAAATCAATCTCAGCATTTATATTTATTTAGCAGATGCGTTTATCCAAAGGAATAGGAAATTACTGAGGAAAATCAGAAGCAATTTCTCAAAGAGCCATTAATATTAGCAGTACGCAATGCCAGGTTTCAAGTATAAGCTCATATCCCTCAGCATATGAATCTCTGACAAGATATTCAGTTTTTGTCTGGAATCTATTAATTTATTTAAAAAAAATAAATTACAATACAATATGTACATACATATATGTACAGTATGTACATACATACAATTAATTAAATACACCTCTTCTATGCTTGAGCACTTTTTAATTTCAGAATAAATACTGATTTTCATATTTTGTGGGAGGCATAACGATCGTCATGAAAGGAAAACCTTATTAAAAGAACAAATCTTGAAAGGAAATCTCTTATGTAGTTTGAGAAATTATTTCTCTGGAAAATAAAATTGATATACACTATCAATCAAAAGGTTGGGGTCAGTAAGATTAAAGTATTTAAAAGAAATTAATACTTTAATATTCTTCCTTGATGATACTTATAATACTACTTTAATACTTATAATACATTAAAGTAATTATTACTTACTAATAAGTAAAGTAATTACTTTTTACTTTGTTTTCAACAGCTGCTATTTTTAAATGTCATTAAATTAAAATTATCTTAACATTTGTGAACAGATTGCCTCAAAAAACAAAAACAACACCAACATGAATACAAATAATACATTTCTAAGACATGTTTTAAACTAGATTTTTTTTGAAGGTTGTTTGCCTTTATCATGGACAGAATTCTTTGTCATTCTTTTTGACCAATACGCTGTCAGAGAGAAGTGGTGAATTGTGGGATTTGTACCTTAGAGCCAGGTCCACAGCAATGAATGCGAGTATGTATAGCGGTCTGGTGAGCGGCGTGATCTCGTACGTGTCCTGCAGCTGAAACGTGGCTGTTTCTGTAGCCGTGTTGACGATGAGCGAATACTCCCCAATACAGACAGTCACCCAGCTCAGAGCAAACAAAGGCACAACAGCTCCCAGTCCTGCTCCCGTGTGCCCATACAGGCCACTCAGTCTGTCTGGCAGCAGGTACCATGTGGACAACCCGCAAAGTGCTCCAGCAAGAAAAGTGTGTAAAACTACATTACCCATAAACTTCTTCCCAGGCACCACAAATCGTACCATCACAGGAGCCACTCAGTGAGTAAACTCCACCTCCTCCTCGTCTGCAAGGATGTTATTGGCAGCAAGCAGCCTTTGTACCACTCCGGTCCTGTGTGCCATACACCGTGCCAGTCCCTGAAGGGTGGCACCAACACCCAGCATGAGCACACCGGAAATAACACCTGCAAAAGCTTCATCCAGCACCCTCAGCTGGTAGAGGAGGGCCCCGATGCCTCCCAACAGCCATGGTGTCAGAAATAACACCAGCTGGTGCATATAGACATACAGCGGTGCACAGTAGCCTAGTTTCAGCCTAGGCCCCCCCAAGACAGTCTGTGGGAAACGCTTCCAGAAGAACTCCTGCTTGTAATCGTTGAGCAAGGGCACATCAGGCCCCATGATGATGAACACAACACGGGAGGGACAGACTCAGTCATCTCCTCCCAGCTGCTGCGGAACACACACACATGTCCCGCTGACAGTGAATCACTGGAAACACACACAAACGCATACAATTACCATATACATTAATATTTCACAGGCCATGATCGAGTAGCGGTTTATTGCATGTCTTTAAAGGGGTCATATGATGCGATTTCAATTTGTCCTTTCTC